GCTGTACCACTCCGCAGCACTTTCGCATCGTTCCCCGCGAACTCCTCAAGTACCCCCGTCTCTCAGCAAAATAGCATTGGCATGTGTATTCCGGGGGGCCTGCAGCCATTGACAAGGGAAGTCCGTCCAACTTACCATGGAACTTTGAATGGAGACCTGGGTAGATCGATAGAGTCTATAAGGTTATTTACAAATATAGATAGCAAAACTGCAACCTGCATTTCACAAGCAACTTATGAGCAGGTAAATTTGTAATGGTGCAGTAGGGTGGAGGCTTGGTGGTGAGCTGTGAAGCATAAGCGAGGAATCGCATACGTCGAATCGAGTCGTCGAACGTCGAACCTTACCACTGAACCACCACGACTCCAATCCACCCTACTGCACCATTACAAACTTTACTTTACCTGCTCATAAGTTGCTTGTGAAATGCAGGTTGCAGTTTTGCTATCTATATTTGTAAATAACCTTATAGACTCTATCGATCTACCCAGGTTTCCATAAGTTCCATGGTAAGTTGGCGGACTTTCCTAGTGACCATATCCCACTGAGGTGCTTTTTTCTGTTGAAAATCTTAAGAGAAAGTGGTGCAACAATGAGGAAGGTTTAAGGATGGATACGAGTGCCCCACAATTATACTGATTGTGTTCTTCACTAGAAATGTAAAATAATCAGATACGTACCTGTTCTAACGTGGTTTGACTGAGAGAATAGTCTTCAAAATCGAACTTTTGGGAGAGTTCTTCGATTTTGTTGAACAACAGCGACCACGTCATACCGGCTCGTTTCTGCAGCTCGTAGTTCAGTTGAAGAAGGTGGTGTTCCTACAGTTGCTCTATTAAATGCTATGAATAAAATGGATTTCGAAAACCTTATGCGAACAAATTAGATCTGCTCCCAGTGCTTGCCATTGCCTTCATTCAGTTTCAGAACGAAGTGCCAGCAGGAAGCATTTCAAAAGTAGAATTTCTCAGAAATCTAGAAATCTCTAAATGGAGATTCCAAACAAATGCTGTAAACCAGCGCCAAGCCGCAGCACATAGTGGCAAGCATGGACGCACGCAAAAGGGCCGCTAATTAACGAGGATGCTCCTTTTTCCGAGGTTTTCTTGCGTAAAAGTTTGAAGTTAATCAGCCCCCTTGAACATTCCAAATTTGTTCATTCCACATAACCGTACAAGTCTTTCGGGATTCCTGGTCGGAGTGCTAATGAGGGAGCCATAGAGATAAGTCAGGTTGGACTTTTGGGTTGAAGAGATGAAAAGTCCTAGTTAAGCATGAGCATGCATGAACCTTTAACATCAAGCGGTCACGCTACGCCAGTGGAGTAGCGGGAGCGCTTGTAATTCTGCGGAGCGAGTCAAGCGGCGGTTACCCTTGGCGCATACTGCTGAAGAGTATGTACTACTGAAGCATACCATCAGTAGCGCCGTACCGATAATGGGCTCAGTGTGCTCGAGCAGTGGCACCAGCTTAATCTATTCAGTTAGCATTCACTGTGTGAACAGCATCTCGACTGCAGCAAAACATACAGTTGACATCTTCGCAATCAGCCGGGGCGGTCTCAATATGGCGGGATGGACCGTCTCCAATTGCCTTTTCCACCATTAGTGATCGGTTGGTAATCGATTTAGGAGGCAAGACAACCCGTGGCGGAAAACGCCGCAGTTGGGCTCACTCCATGCACCGCCTCGACGATTTCGACAACATCAGCTGCATAGTTGTTAAGTGTTGTCTATATCCCGAATGAGGGTGGGCGTGACTGCGTACTCCGTTCTAACACGGCATAGTATGCACGTTTCCCCCAATGCATCTATCAGAGAACTATAACTCCGATTAGTGCGTGACAAAAACATGATTATAATTGTGCAAGAGACGACAAGATCCCTCAGAAAACGCAGTCGATGCCATGTTTAAATGAAGTGTTCGGCCACGCCCTTCCTATCTCTGATATAGAGCGTACAAGCACTGCTACACTACTGCCTGGACCAAATATACTAGCCTACCCCGTTTATCCCAATAGTAATAATTCAACATCACCTTCAGAATAGCTCCAGGGAAAACTTCGATGTATCGCACTTTTTACTCTTTCAGCATCTTCGCAACGACGCATTCGCACCAGGAGGGTGAAGCCGGCCCCGTAGCGGCTCTTTATGTGCTGACAGCTACCGTAGCATTTGAACCTTCCTAAAAGGAACCTGATTTTAAGGGTAGAATCATGGCATCGAAAAAGGAAAGAAGGCGTCGGAGAGATGGTAAGTTAAGCATTTTGCTTAACTTCGCGAACCTCCAAAGAAACAAAAACGCCGAACAAATAGCAAAATGTTTTCGAAACATCATGATAATTCACCGTAAACCATTATAGCTAGTTCCGTGCACAACGCTTCACATTCGTCCATACTGTGGGAGGTGAGCACCAGCGCTGTACCGAGGCTTTGTACCTAGAAATGTGTGAGTAACAACTGTCATTGAAATCCATTTGCACCCTGATACTGAAAGCATTTATCCACATTCCTATTTCTCGGCGAAATGTCGGTGTAGTGCTCACCTTGGTGAAGATATTCCAGATAATACGCCTTGCTTTTGGATCAACACCGGTAGTCGGCTCGTCGAGCAATAGGACCGGTGGCAGACCGATTAGTGCAATTCCAAGTGACAACCGCCGTTTGTTACCACCGCTGGAAAGTTTTTTCGATGATGAACTCTCCATCAAAGTCCCCAGAGTAGCTCAAGAGAGAGAATTTTCAACAAATAACTTGAATTTTCAACGATGGTACAAAGAAATTAACTTCCCGCACAAGGGGTATTGTATTTTTTTGCAAAAATATCCAAACGCCGTGAAAAATAATGTGATGTAACAATCACACTGGATAATCTGGGCGTAACAGCCGGCCATCCTCGCTTGCTCCCTTTGTGCAATAACCGTTACACGAAATTATCGAGGTGTATGAGACTTTTTTGCCCCAAGAGTACCGCTCAAGGTTCCAAGTGGGCGTCAGGCTGTACAAGCAGCAACAAGAAAGTTGCGGTCTCTGACCCTACTAGCTCGCCGGTGGGCCGTGTCAGAAGACATAGAATGAGCATCCCGGCGGTGCTCTTCTTTACCAATAGTGGTCGGTTCAGGTGAAAAACCACCAATGGTGGCATTTTCTGCGGATGAGCTCATTCAACGCCTCTTATCAACGCCTCTTACGGATTGGAAAGATATAAGTTGCATGTCTGCTGAGTGGGACATTGCCTCGGTAGTGAGAATTCGTCATTATACGCTTTATGATTAGCCTATTGGGAGGGCCTGATTTAGAGAGGGGCAAGAGTACTGCATCTCAACTGAAACTCTAGGAGTACTGCGGAACGGGCTGTGCACAAGAAGCTTTGAAATGTAGCCTATAATCAAGGTTGCACATAGCTCTGTGAGACCTTGTAGCTGGACTTGATAGATCTTCTTGTCGACTTTCTTTGAGTCTTATTGTCTACAGTGCCCCAATAAGGAGCGTGGTTTATACTTCGGCGAATCAGTTTCTGATCTCATGAGCGATTACCGAACCACGAGCTAGGACTCTTTCTAGAGCTAATCACGAATGTGCAAAATTACTACTCCTCAGAGGAAACTGCAGATGGCTGACGTTGGAAATATGAAAGGCTGACTATCCCAACGTGGCGAAGGCTGAGCATGGTCCTTCAAGTTATACAATAATTCATTAAAGTTTAGGAATGTCACGTAGGCATTCCGAATACAGTACATTTTGTGGAACTCCAGAGTCGAACCACCTCCATTCAGGACCCCCACCCCATTGTAACGTGGCAATGTTTAGTTTCTTCTCAAGTGATTTTTTTTCTTTTCCTACGTCAAGCAACATGGTTTTTGAAATCTGTTGGCCGGCTCGCGGTTGGATCGTAAAAGTCTGGCTAAGACCTACCTATAGCCCTTTAATTTTGTCGCGTATGCATACAGACCAATACCGATTGTATGAATGAACTGCATGACTGCTGTAAAGGATACAACATGTGATATGCCAAAGAAGCTAATGAAATCAGTCGGGTTCCGAAGCAATATTATCGCCATGTCTTAACGGATGTTCGCTCAATGCCACATCATGTCAAGTGTTTTTTTACTAATCGTCATTAGCGACGTTTGAGTTTGCGGTCTCGGAACAGCAGGAAAAGTTTCGAAAACTAAAATTGCCTGACATTCCATCATGTTTCGGCTAAACTTGTGGCCCCCCCAGAATACTCACACACACCATGAAACACACATACACACACACATACACACACAGGCCGTGCAACGTCCAAACATCCGTGGGATTGCGTTAGGGAGTGGTGGACGAAGTGTAGGACAGAGTATTTGTTAGGCATTTCAACTTGTAAAGGCTGACATGTGCCTTGGCTTGAGCAAGAATATACCACCAAAAGAGCAGCTGCCGAAACTTCCAAAGGAAGTACGAAGCCACGCCTATCGCCTATCGCATTTGGGGGTCATAGAGTTTATTTATCGTATCTATGACTCGAATTGTGGGACTTCATTCACCAAAGACTCTCAAAGAGCACTGGGGCTGAATGATGCAAACCAATAATTTTACTACATATAAAGCTACGTTTATAGTATACTACGTTTACACATTCGAAATCCCTGTGATGTGGTGGGCGTGGCTGCGTACTTCAGCTAGAACGTGGCGGTGACTGTGCTTTTGGTGAGATATTTTCATTTTGAAACAATTGTGGTCATGTCTCTGTTCACATTGAACAAGATGACAGTTGTCTCGAGCTGAAGTATCCCACAAGTAGCCCATTCTGTGCCATGTTCAAATGCCACGCTTACTCCATCTTAGGGATAAAGTGTAGAATATGACGGAATGGGAGCTATACCTAAGGGATAAAGTGTAGAATATGACGGAATATGGGAGCTGTACCTAACCTTTTCCGGAATTTCCTTCTTCGGAATCCCACGAATTCGTGCAAACATGTACAGCGTCTCTTCTCCAGTCATTTCTTTGAGCACAGCATCAAACTGTGGGCAATAGCCTATATTAGCACCGGCCTAAAACGATTAAATAATAGATTTTCGCTTGTTTCTTCTCCATTTCACTTTT